CTCTTTCTTCCAGCAAGATCGGTACGATTTTATGGTTCTTGTCCGCAAGAACGCCTGCGCGGCACCTGCCCCCGACTTTACCGGGAATATACAAGCTTGTGCCCTAAACCTAAACCCCAAACTCCACCCTAACTGGCCTAAACCCTGAACCCTACACCCAGGCCCCACATAGGATTTCTACGTCATGTCCAAGAAAAGTCCTCAGGTCCCGGGTGGCTGCTAAACGGTACCAAAAGGAACGCTTTAGGGCCCCCTATAATGCTGAAGTCTAAATAGGGTATAGGGTTTAGGGTTTAGGGTTTGGGGTTTAGGGTTCAGGGTTTAGGATTCAGGCTTGCCAATATTTCCTGTCCCAATTTCCTTGTATAATTGTGGTAGAGGGTATCTCAAATAGACCTAAGGACATTGGCAAGCAAATCCAGGCCTCTACAGTACATGATTGCCTTAAGAACCCCAATGTGAAGCCCCGTCTCCGTTTAATGTTGCATGTTCTTGTCCATTTGATTCTCCGTTATTGGCGATTCCGATAGTAAACCTAAGCTTATATAATTTAATCCCTATGCAGCCCTATGTAGATATTCCCTATGAAATCCCTATGTGACTATGACCCTCAACCGTTATTGCATCTCCTACTACATCGCCATAACTTGGCAGTGTCTCACTTGCATTTATGGCTGAGTGATTCCTAGGGGTTTAGCATTCAGGCGTTTCGAGGGCAGGGCTACTCTACCTCTGGGTTTTAGGCAGATCACTCTCTAAACCCTAAACCCTGAGTCCTAGACCCTAAACAGAATGCCAGGGAATATTGTGCCAAGCCGCAGGGGCTTCGATGACCTCTTCTCCAACTTCCCCGGGCCAGTGCCAACGCCGCCTCCGGCGCGATTGCACAGAGATGCCCGAAATCCTAAGAGGCGCGCTGGGTTTCTTCGAGCCAGGGGATACATTTAGGGGTTATATGAGCCATTGTCTAAACTCCTAGTACCCCCTTAATAACCCCTATATAGTAGTCCCTTAAATAACCCCCTATATAACCCCCTTTTAAGGAGTTTAGACTATAGCTCATATGAAATACATAGGGATTATAGAGGGCGGCTAGGTCCTTGGCTGCTTTTGTCCCTGCATCAGCTTCAGATTTGGCAGGGTTTTGGGCGTGGAGGGCCAGGTTTGCTTTATTTGGGTTGCTGTTAAGGAACTACTATTAAGTGACCATAATAAGAGTACATAGGGTTTAGGGTTTAAGTTGCCAAAAATATGGGCGCAGTGTAAATAATAGGGTTTCCTGATTATAGTAATTCAAGTTCCTTAAATCCCTATATTCCCCCAGCTTTCATTTCATTTTCCATTTTCTTTTCCATTTGATTCTCCATTATAGGGGGATAATCCCTTAATTTAAGTTCCTTAACAGCAACCCAGCTATGCAAGGTTCGGCTCAAACACAGGTTCCCTATTCACAGCATACCTATCTGAGGGAAGCCTGGAGATGCAAATGAGGTGTTTGGGATTTCTACTTCCTACCTGGGCCCAGCAAGCAGCTAAGATAAGGATGTAGCTGGGGTTCAAGAACAGTGGGGCTCTCCCTATCTTTCAGACTTCTGGTTTCGACTGACGTTCGGGGCCAAGACTTCTCAAGTCCTTGGATATGTGCGATGAATTTAATGTCTGAAGCTCATAGTCATGGGTTCTCTCTGCCTAGTGCCTAGTGGGACTTCACAGCTTCCGAAACTACAGGCCTGAAAAACACCATACACCAATCCTCCGTGCTCCAAGCTGGCGGAACTCCATGGAAGCCTTTGGTTTCTGCGGTTTGAGAAGCTTGCTTCCTGTAACTCCTGATGCTCGACAACCACCTAAAGCTTTGACATGCATCCCGTAAAAAGATGCAGCTATGACCTGGAACCCTGCCAATTCCATCCTCCGGTACCTCCTAGCACATGCGCAATCTCCGTACTTCCCACCCGTGCCCGGGACTCCAAGAGATCCAAACGAGTCCCTAAACCCTAAACCCAGAGAGAGTCCTCGGATCCAAAGTCCCACTGTGTTCCAGCCATGGGCCGTCTGTATGCAATTACTTGGGTTGCTGTTAAGGAACTTAGCTTAAGTTACCGTAATGGGTGTGTATGTGTATATATATATATAGCAACTAATATGTTTTCCCAGAATAGCAAGTCCAATTAAGTTCCTGAACAGCAGCCCAGTTCGACATATATAAGAAGCGCCATCAGCCCGCAAACAGAACATTATGAGCTTCGCGAACGCAAGACTTTGACAATTGTCAAGGCTGTGTTGCAGGTCTAGGGTATTGACCCTAACCTTTAGGGAGCTCTGTGGGAAACCGTATCAAGACCTCATGGACAGAGATTACATTATGTGCTATATTGCCACATGCAGGACCAGTTTGGCCAACCCCCCCTTGCAGCAGTAATTTCATTTTTGAGAAACAAAGACCTTCCAGCGGAGCCCTGGAAGGAAACGAACGTTGGAGGAGTCCATCGACCTCGCATTTGCTTCCATTCCAATTCCTCCCATACCAGCCTACCGGCCCCGCACCCAGGAGCGAGGAGCCAATGGCTTTGTTGGAGGAATGAAAAGGAAATAGAAGCGACTATACTGTTTGGGGTTTAGGGCGTAGGGTTCAGGCAGGATTCAAAAGATAGGGTTTGCGGAGGGTTCAGGGCTTTGAGTTTGAGGCGTGATGCTTAGGGCCTAGCCTGCCGCTGTTGTGCGGGCTTGGTCGAAGGTTTAGGGGGTTTGCGCAGAAAGCGGGCGTTTGCGTGGGAAGCGGGCTACTGTGGAAGGTTTTATGGGTGATATTTAGGACTTAGGGATTATGAAGCATCAAATGGACAAGATCATGGAACATGCATTGAAAACGATGGCTTGGGGTTATACAGGATTAATAGGGATGAATACCAGCAGTGTGATCGAAGATCTCTTGTGCAGTCATTCGGTGGATGGCGGAAATCTTGCACCACTTAAACCCGCAAAGTCTTGCAATTATAATTATTGGGGCTCTATTCTGGGTTGCTCTTCAGGAACTTGAATTAAGTTACTGTAATAAGGAACCCCTATTATCTACTTTATACTCCATATTCTGGTAGTTTAGTTTACGTTCCTTAACAGCAGCCAAGTATTTGGTGGTATAAGGTTTCATCCATCCACAGTATATCCGGTCATGCGGGCAGTAGTCTAAACTCCCTAAAGGGGGTTATATAGGGGATTATATAGGGGAGTATTTCAGAGCTTATTCAGGGGGCATAATAGGAGTTCAGACCATGGTTCATGTAGTGGACCTCACGTGGGAGCTTCCGTAGATAAGATACCCCAATACAGATCCCAAAATGCTTTGATACCACCCTCCGCAAGAACATAGGAGTGGGGTTCAGGGTTTAGGGTTTGGGGATGTAGACCAATTTCAGCATGATCGCAGGCGTTACAGTCCCCTTTGGGGGGGTATGTACTCGAGTCTGACGTGCCTAAAGGGGGGCTATAGAGGGAATTCTATAGGCGAGTATTATAGGCTTTACCAAGGGGGATACCAGGAGTTTGAAGTATAGCTCATGTGAGTTTGAGGGTCTAACGTGTACCACTCTTAGAACTGACCATGTTGTGTTTGCCTTCGAAGCCGGGTTGCTGTTAAGGAACTTAAATTAGATTACCATAACATGGGTATAAATGGTATAAAGTGAAAATAGGGTTTCTCTGTCGCAGTAACTGAGTTTAAGCTCCTTAACAGCAACCTAGGAAGAAGCCGTGCAAGCTCTTCCAGAAGCCTAGAGTTGAATTCTCAAAGCGCAGCAGCAAATGAGCTGGAGTCTAAGCTCCTTAAAGGGTAGTTATATCGGGGAGTATCATAGGGGTTACTAAGGGGGAAACTGGGCCCTAAACCCTAAACCCTAAAACCTAAACCCTAAACCCTAAATTCAGCTCGCATGACACCGTCTCAAAGTTGCCCCTGTTGAATCCTCAATAGGGATCCTCCTGAATTCCTTGGTAGACCCTAGAGACTGGGCAATTTAAAGCGACCTCACCGGACCTCGCCCTAAATGGTGGTTTATATAGGGAATAGTACCAAAATGGCTTTAAATTGGGAACTGACATTATTCAAAACTACCCTGTAGAAATGCCTAGGGCCCTCAAGGGTATCCCTACTTTGAGGCGACATACCCAAGCATTGCGAGCCGGCAGCCTAAACAGAAAAATCCTAGGCGATGAAGGACCTGAAATCCTCAACCCTAATAAAATGGAAACCCATTGGGGTAATATTGGGATAATGGAAAGTAAAATGGAAACTACAGGGATTGTAGTGGAAGTGGGGGAAATACATCCCGGCACAAAACAGTGAAACCTCAGAGCTCTCGCCGAGTCGGGTCAGGCTGCGGCAAGAAACTTTTGAGATAATAAAAGGCTCGCAGTCAAGTCCCACCTGCACAACTCCAACCCTGAAGCTATTGAAAAGGTTTTGCTAAGAAATTAGAGTATAGGGTTTGTGCAAGATAGAGGTATGTGTGCTTGTGCAGAACCGCCCAAGTAGCTTGGAAACAACATACCACATCGAGGCTTCTGGAAACTCATTGTGTGGCCTTTTCGGGGCTTTATGGCAAGGATCCTACTATTCTGAGGCAAGCAGGAAGACCCTTTTGTCAACAAACTCCCTCATATTTCTCAACGTGATCGAAGCTCGCATCCCCAAACGATATACATATATATCTATATGAGCCACATTCCATACTCGGTTGTAAGAAATTTTGTATGCGGTGGACATGTCG